ATTCAAAATTCTCCTTAAAGTAAGACCTTGGACCCGTACCATGACTTGGACTATAACGAATTCAATCTTGAGTGCAAATTAATGCTTGGGCCATTTTAGGGTTAATTGAAGCTTGTAAATCATCAATATGGAAGCAAATTATTGCTTTTACAACTTATGTGTATAAATAAAAAACATGTGTATATATATATATGTGTATAAATCGATTTTCGGTTCGGTTTGGTTAACCGACCACAGTTAATCAAATCGAACCGAAAACCGAAATTTTAAAAAAATCTAAACCGAAAATTGACCAAAAAGTTGGTTTAGGTTTCGGTCCAAACCAAATTTTTCAGTTTCGGTCGGTTCGGCTCGGTTAACCAAACTTTGTGCACCCCTAAGTTCAATAATAAATAGAACCGAAGATTTTGAATAATGTTGATAACTTTTTTAATTTTCTTTTTATGTTAAAAATTTTAATATATATTTAAGTTACAAAATATAGAGATTAGAAACAACTCTATTTTAATTTTTAAATCATATTTTAATTTTTTTTATTATTAATTAAAAAATTAAAAATAAAGATTATGTGCATAACAAATAAAAATAAATTCCTTCTTCCTTTTTTAAGTAAAGTGAGAAAAAATATAGGGGAATTTTTATTTATACTACATGATTTAGAAAAAATTATAATTTTACTAGGGGTCAAATTTTATTTGCAACTTTACTAATTTCATGTTAATTAATTATACATATACACTACAACAGAATATTTTCAGTTACCATATTTAATGTAACCACCTCCTCAAATGATGGGATTTTCAGTTACGGGTATATTGCGTGTCAATTTCTTTCCATCCCAATTCCACGAAGTATATATTGCGTATATATTCAGTATATAAACTAATTAATATATCCAAAAAAAATATGTATTATCTTCGTTTTGAAACTGGTTTATGTATATATGTAGTATATTTTCTGTGTTTTTCTCCGATCTGATGTTTATATATATATATATATATGTATGTATATATATATATTGGGGTTTATAGAAATATACCTAACATTATACCGAACATATACATAACATATACTATTTTCTGGAATTAATATATGTATACCGAACATATACTATTTTTTGGAATTATATATACATATACCGAACATATACCGAACATATACAGAACATATACTGAAAATAATTTCAGATCCATGCGTCGAGATGTTCGTAATTCTCATGAATTTCATTCCAATTTCGATCATCACCCGTCTGTTTGTTAAACGACTCGTAGTCGTCGTCTTCTTCGTACTTGGGCGTCGTTTCCTTTCATCCTCAGTGTGCATCTATACCGGCATCGCAACTAGGAGATTCACCAGTTATTGGAGGGATTTTGGTTTTCACCATAGAAATTGGTTATAGGGTTTAATAAGAATGAAGTTGAGAAGAGGATGCATCTGTCGTCAGATGATGGTGAATCGATCCTAGACAACCGGACTTCAGAACTCAACCGATCAAAAAATGAAAAAGAAGAAAAAATTTAGTTGGAGAGGAAGAGAAAAAATAAGCGAAGAATTTAGAAAAGAAGAAGAAGAAGAAGAAGAGACTCAAGAGAGAGAGTGAAAGAGTGCGTGAGTGGGGGAGATGAGAAAGTGTTCTGGGAGATGTGGATGTTGTTTTTTAATATTGGTAACTGCTCCCATTAACTAAATATTAATTGA